CATGTAGCGAGCGTTTGCAAGGCGGCTGCCTGCGAACAACATCCAAGCTTCAAATCCAGATCACGGAGGTTCGCGAAGTGCGGGTCGAAGCCACGAGAGCTGTTTCTGCGGTGACATTCTCTGCACGGCAGCGGTGGCTGCCGGTGGCTGGATGTTTCCACACCTGGCGTGTGTAGCGTGTGTCGGTGTTGTTCTGTTCCCCGGTGCAGATTACACCAGAACCAGGCACCATGTAATATTGTAATGGCATCTTGGTCATCTGTGTCTGTAGGTCTATCATGTGAGTAGGGGAGTCGAAGCCGATCACTGCTCTTTGCCGACAAGAGGAAATACATGGGAGCCGCTCATCAAAAAAAGGAAACACTAGGAGCAGCCACCATAGATAGCGAAAAATAGTTCATCATTCCATATCACTTTCAGGAATATGGTGCTTTTGCATTACTCGAGCTTGCCATTTTACCCCATGTTGCCACTTAGCTTTTCGTTATTTTGGTAGACCACTGCTTCCTATGTCACTTTTTATTAAAACAGCCACTTAGCCATTTGGCTATTCACCAATATTTTCTGTGCACTTTTTTACGTCATTCTGCAGCTATCTTTTAAGCCGCCTCACCAATCTGACAAGTCAAGTTTTCAGTATGTCGCCAATTTGAAGTTCTTAGCTTAGTCATTTGTTTTTTCTATCATTTTGGATATATCGCCATTTTTCCATGTCACCGTTTTGTATCTCGCCCTTTCCTCGATTCGATTTTTCGACACGTCAACTTTTGGCCCGTCGCTAATACGGAAGGTGCCATGTAACAGTCGACAAAAAGTTATTCGGCAAACTGGCAGACTAGAGGCGACCGTGTTGCCTGTACACCATCCGGGGGTGGGGGTCGAACTCAACGACCGCAGCCGCACACGAACTGAGCTCGTCCTCCGACCGTGCTTCGGCAGCAACTGCAGCTGGGCCCCGACTCTAAACTGCACGACTCATGGATCGCACCAACGGTCCCCACCTACCAGACGTTCCGTTTTTGGAACGTTACCAACTGGCAGGATGTGGCCAGCAAGCGGGCCAGACCAATTCTGCAGGAAGTGGGACCCTACACTTACAGGTGAGAGGCAGTGATGAGGATGACAGAATATCCCGTCGACCGTTGGGAGATGATTTGCATTTGAAGAAGATGCCATCTACTGACATTGTGAGTTGCGATGCTGCGAGAAACTGAGAATGTACCCTGGAGTTGCTGTTTCCGTATCACTATCAGCTTTCTCAGTTCACCGATTTCTACCATACCCTTATCATGAGAGATTTGTAGAAAGTCCTACCAGCCCTAACCCTCCGCCCTGTTGTGGTGTGACTGATGGGCTCGTTTGCTTGTGCAGACGATGTTTTTATCGTAACGGCGTCCAGTTTAATGATGGCTTATTCCTGTTAAATGATGCTCATGTTTGTTAATGTTTCCATAGTTTGACAGCGAATGACCAGCTTGTCAACAGTTCCTGACTTCCCTGCCGGTCCCAAACAAAAGATAGCCCATTCGTGGTGCGCAAACCGTTCTGTTTGAAACAAGCGTTATATCTGTATTTCAGCTTGACTTGTCGGGCAGACAGTTGCAAAAAACGTTACAGAAAAGATGGAACAACTACGCCCAGGGCTAAACAGCTCGCGGCTGCCCGCGGTGCACGGGGTCCTTTGCTTTGAGAACTCGACCGTCAATGCCCGCAATAACCGCTTTTCATGCTCGCAGCATCAATGTTTGCGCACGTGCGGCCGCAAACTCTGCTAAGGTAGCGCTTGCATGCCTCTGCCTATAAAGTTATTGTTCATGCTGCACAATGACACTGGTGCTGTCATCAGTTATTTGTCACTGGGTGGTCCAATTTGACGCGCTATTAGTTACTGTTGCGTTGAGACCGGCTCGTTTAGTGGATTTGTTATACAACATGACGTATTTTTCGTTACGTGTCATTTAACATGTCTTGTACCCGTTGAATGACCTTGTCGGGGTCAACAACGAGTTGCCATGAGCAATCCGTAGAAATAGAGCAAACAACGGGCAACCATAGACTGTGGGTTAAGACTGACGGGATGTAATGCCGCCTTGTTGGCTTGCGTCACTTTACAGGAGGGAGCAACGGAGAGTCAACGTTACGTGGAACAGCAATGACACCGTTACGTACATGCAGAACAATACCTGGTTCTTTGAGCCGGATATGTCCAATGGAACAGTAGAAGACAATATTACATCACTGAATCTCCCTCTGCTGGTAAGCACAATTGCTCGTTGATGTTGAAATGAAACTGTGATCAGTTCTTTGGTTTCATTTCAATCTGTTCTATATATATATATATATATATATATATATATATATATATATATATATATGCATCTACGTGTGCAAGAAGTAACAGATATCTCATTGAATTAGATAAACAATAATCTTTTTCATAATTTGTTATCCTTTATCTGATGATTATTGTAGTTATATTCAGGATATAATATGAGGGCATGAATTGCATAGATTATATATGTACTGAAATTTGCAATGATTATTACATATAGATACATGCATATGTACATGCTATATATATATATATATATATATATATATATATATATATATATACATGTTCTCGCCATCTCTCTCTCTCTCTCTCTCTCTCTCTCTCTCTCTCTCTCTCTCTCTCTCTCTCTCTCTCTCTCTCTCTCCTCTCTCTCTCTCTCTCTCTCTCTCTCTCTCTCTCTCTCTCTCTCTCTCTCTCTCTCTCTCTCTCTCTTTCTTCCTGGTTTCTCTTTGTGTTTAACCTTCCATTTTATCCCTGCAGCTGGCTGCTCACACCATCGAGGGCATGCCCCCAATCGTCAAGAAGATGATCATCAACTTGATCAGCAAAGTGGGCAGTCAGGTGTTCGTTACCAAGACAGTGCGGGAGCTCCTGTTCGACGGTTATGATGACCCACTGGCTGACGCCATCGCTGCCTTGAGGCATCAGTCGGCGCAGAGTATTGGCTGGAAAGTCGGGGTGAGTTGATGCTGCACGCTTTTTTCGTTTGGTAGGCTGACTGGGCAAATCGCATCGCAAAGTATGTTTATTATTTGACATTAGCTGACACTCCACATACATGCGGCACAAAGAACAACAGACAGTGCTAAGGGATAAAAAAAACACATGAACGCACTCAAGCAGTATGACTCACTCAAGCGGTATGCACTCAAACAGTATTAGGCAAACCTATCGCACGAAAAAGGACCCGACTGCGCGCTTAAAACTCGTTGAATTCAATCGTCGAACATCCACTTGCAACTCACTAATGAGAGGCGCCGCTCGGTGTGCAAGGGATCGTTATCCTGCCGCCGTGCGCACCGCCGGCAGGCGCAGGTCCAGGTGGGTAGTTTGGTCACTGTTCCGCGCGTCAGCGTGTGTTGGAAGCGAACAGGCAAGACCGTCAGGCTCACCTAGCCGACGGGCTCTGCGCGCAGCGGTGACAGTTTGTGCGTCACATTTGGCGAGGCGTGGCGAGGTGCGGGTCATCCCGCGCGCGAGACACGTTGCCATCCTTTCGCAGGCCAGTATCTACCCTGGTAGCAAAGCTAACTACTTTAAGAGGTCAGGCCTCGGTAACAGATGACCCCTGCCCATAAACCGAAATGCAGCATCTCACGCGCGAGATGACTAGGCCCTGTGCCATGGTCAGCAGGACTTGTGGGAAGAAATATCTCAGCCGGCGGAGACCGATCAGGGCACCGATACACTTATTAAGCACATCACTGACGTGTGCCACACAGCTCGGATGGCGGACAAATAGCACACCCAAGTCAAAAAGCATACCTAAGTCAAATAGCACGCCCTAATCAAATACCACACCCAAGTGAAAAAGCACGCCCAAATCAAATAGCACACCCAAGTGAAATAGCACGCCCAAGTCAATAGCACACCCAAGTCAAATAGCACACCCAAGTCAAATAGCACACCCAAGTCAAGTGGCGCGCCCAAGCAAGGCTCTCCCGAACGGTCTCCCCACCGACCCGCACGCTGATAGAGGAAAGTCCGCGGGCGTTCTGTCGGGTGCCAAGGAGAAGAAGTTCTGATTTGGATGCGTTGTGCTCGACACCGTGGGTATAGAACCACGATGATAGGGAGGATGATGGATAATGATAGGGAGGATGATGATAGGGAGGATGATGATAGGGAGGATGATGATAGGGAGGATGATGATAGGGAGGATGATGATAGGGAGGATGATGTTCGCGATGATAGGGAGGTCAGGGTGGCCTGCATGCGTTGGGCAGGGGAAGGACGGTTGCGGTTGCCATTGGAAGTGAGGATTTAGGTGGCGTCAGCGTACTGTGTCACATTGTCGCCCGGCGAATATAGGCTGAGGTCGTTTGCGAAGATTGTGAATAAGAGAGGACCAAGGGCTGATTCCTGGAAGACTACCATAGTATTGGGGAGGGGCTTGGAGACAGCTCTGTCACCAGAAGAAGAAGATATGCAGACTGAATGGGAATGACTAGAAAGCTAGGAGAACCAAGCCGTGTCAATGATATAGAGGTGGACGCTGGAAAAGAGGCCCGCATGAGGAATGACGTCGAAACATTTACTGATGTCCAAGAGGCACAGGAGTGAGAGATGATCACGATCCATGTTGGAAAAGATGCGGTTGGTCACAGTGAGCAGAGCAATCTCAGTGGAATGGCGGGATGGAAAACACGCTCGGCTGAGGACAGAGGATGCTTGTTGGACATGTTGGTGAATACCTGGCGCTGCACCACACACTCGACAACCTTGGCCATGGTAGAAACAGTAGACATATGATGGTGATTGGAGATCAAGGCTGGATCACCGGACTTTAAACTGGGATGGGCCAGAAATTGGTTCCAGGGACAGTTAGTTCACACCTAGCGTAACTCCGGTACCCCGACGGAAAACGCCCACGTGGTGGGACTGTATAACGGGGTGCAAGTTTGTTTTGTTTTTTTGTTTTTGGATTAAAGCCCTTTCGACCAAACATGATCATTTCAGGGCCATGGGATGAAGGAAAATGGTTAACGATGGGACATACGTGCATGTGCCTGGGGGGCCAACCGCCGAGCTTTAACCCGCGTATGCGCGGCCACCCAGCCGGGGTCCCCCTTCCCACGGGGCTCTCGGCCCACTCGTGGCTGACGCATGCAGCCTGCCCCGGAGAAGCGGGGTGTCGCGAGGACGTAGGATGAAGGAAGATTCAGGATAAAAGGGACGGGACGTCACCAGGTGCAGAGCCCTTTTTGTATTAAATAACAAAAGTAGTTGGACATTCTCCTAGTTGTTACGAAAATAAGACGTGCAACCCAATAACTTAGGAAAAGCGCTGTAACCGAGTGCGTGAATACAAGCAAATTCCTCAAACTGACGGTTAAAGATGCGAGAGAACACCATGACAAAGGGTCAAAGCACAATCACATAACCACATCGGGCTTAGCGAGCGCTACAAGCGCCGTGCTGCCATCTATCGATGAGTTTGAAGTAGTACAAGTGGGCGCTGGGGCGACAGCGTACATCGAAACATTGGCTTAGTCAATCATGACCGCCTGAAAACAATCGCGAGCGTGTGAAAGCAATCGAAAAATACTGTCTGCCACATGACGGGTGGATGACAGGGCACGCACAGGCCTAAGCCACCGGCTGGCCCGATCAACCAAATAGATCCGTACGATCATCACCGTCTCAAAGACTGGAAAATGATTGACCACAGGGGCATAGTTGCGCAAAATGAGTTGGGAGGAAGGGGTTGAGTAACGACATATTGCTCAGCTTTCTAAAAAAAAACAACAAACAAACAACCAGGTTCTTCTCCAGATTCGGGCCCTTCTCTTCTCGAAGTGGTGGGGCTGGAAGCCAAGTTGGTGAAGAGGGGATGGGAGGGGGCTGGTGAGATGGAGGCTCCGGAAGTCTTTCTAACACAAATTCGTCCCGCTCAAAGATTAGACTAGAGCGTGCCTTGTTTTAATTTTTAGGCTGCCTTCTGCGAAGATAAGCACTTTCAGCAACAGGAAAAACAGGTTATACTTTTACTCTTCTAGCTCCACCACCAGCTTCCCGCACCTTTTAGCGATGCTGTAAACGCCAGTTCATTCTTTAAATCAATCTAAAAATAGCACAAGTGAGGCACACAACGCCAGGGCTACCTTTTAAATGTACCAACCGATGTTTTACAGTGTTCGAAGATGCTTCTTCCAGATGCGTCATCATTTACGCCCGTCCACTGGCCACCGCTGAGTGCTAGCTGCGGGATCGGGGCGGGGCTAACTCCGCGCGGTCTATGGAGACTGCAAACGCAGCGTATGGAGGTTTTTGTTACTAAGATTTGCAAGCACGCATGCTCACATTTGTATTGCATAGATTTCTGACCAACCAATTTTGACTGAATGCTGAATATTTTCGAAGAAATGGGGTGGTCATGTCACTACGAGTTTTTGACCTTTTAGGGGAGGACTTTCATCATCAAGAGGCATTTTTTCAGCCATTTATCCCCCTCTCCCCGTTGCAGAGAACTCTGATTGCGCCCCTGTAGTGTACGTAAATCAGAATGTTCATCTAAGATGAAACACCACAAGGCCAACTGCCTCACAACTTCGAAAATACAGAGGCTCCAATCCAGAGAGTAGCCCGTTTGTTGGTGCTTTTTCGGAGAAGGTTGAGCCATTTACCGCTGTTCAGCCCCTCCCACCCCCCCCCCCCCATTACAATTCAAGTTGCAAAATTACGCCCCTGGCGCCGGTCATTTTCAAGTTTGAGAGCCGCTGAGATAATACGAGTCTATTTGACCGATCGGACCTGCTGGTGACTTCGTGCCTGCACGTAGTCCGTGATTCAAACGTGACGTGGCAGGTGGAGGTTTTATGCTGCTTGCGCTACGCCGGTGGTATATTTTCAGGCGGTCATGCTCAACTGTACCAATGTTTCAACGTGCCCAGGGCTGCAACTTCGGACGGCTAGTTCGACAGCACCACAACGTCATGTAAACGATCCGTAACGCATTAGAAAATTACGCGATGAGGAGAATATTTACTAAATAGAACACAATGTTTGTCTACTACAAGGGTCTTTTCCAGTTAAAGACATGCCGATAGTTATAAGTGAGCTTATTCCATCACATCTGATGCTTGCCTCAATATTATCAAATCTGTAGCATTTCTTTGAAAGAGAGCGTTCCACATTTGTTTGGGTTTTGAACTGAGATGGTCATTTTGGAAATCATGCAGTGCAGTCCACAGCTATAACCCCTTTAAAAATTCAAACCCTCTTGTTGCTGAGCTTGACGTCCGCGAACATGCTCGGGCTATTTCGCGCAGACTATTTCAAGGCCATGCACACATGCATGGCGCAATAGAAATGTACTGCACATGCCACCAACTCATTGGCCATGTAACACTGAAGCCCCTCCCCATCCCCAGTCGAATTATTCGTTTCTGGCCACGTCAGAACGATGCGTGGCATCTCGTTGGCCTTCGATCATGTTGATAAATTTGTAGTAAGTTTTGAACACCAAGCATGTTTCTTGCCACGTAATGCATTAATTTTGACAGTGGCATGGCTATGACGGGAGTTAGGTTGGAAGTCGAATAACTTAAGAATGGCTTCCATACACGGGCATGTGAGTGCAAGTAAAAAGCATAAGATTACTGAAAAATGAACAAAACCACCACGACAAGTGGTCAAAACACGCGCTTTAACGACATTCAGGTTCCGCAAACACGCACCAACACATCCGTCACCTCTCGGCAGATTGAAATACTACAAGTAAGTCGGCCAGTCCCACTTCAGTAGGAATTCGGACACGGCCAGCCTGGCAGCGTCTCTGACGTTCATGACGGTAATCAAACAATGTCGTGTTGAAGAGCATGCACACCAAATGGTGAAACTGTAATAGCTAGAATAGGCCTTTACGCTTAAGAAGAATACGCTCCCTGCCAATGCTTAGCAGGGAGCGTATTTCATTATAGCTAGTGTTACTTTACTGTCGTCAAACGTGGAACGTTTCCTTTAGTGAAGCCACACGGCATAAACTTAAGCTCAAAAGATAAAACAAAACAAGAACACGCACCACCAAAGGATACAGTGAGCGATTGCGAGCTAGACAATGTGTAGTCTTGTGCATTTCTTGCCGCTCACTAATGAGCTCTACATGAGTCCACAAGGATGGCTTTGTCGGGGAGCTTATCACGAAACCTAGAGCTGTAGCCCCAAGAACCTGGACTGTTGTCTTTTAATTTCTTGAAATAACTCCATGAAAGGAATGTGATAAAAATGCAAAACATTTCGTGATATACTTTTGTTGATTTATCGCGTAATGGGCTCAATATGTCCGGCAGCAAAACAACTCTCATTTCTTCGATGGAATCATGAACATGGACACCGGCGCTGATATCTCGCACAAGGGCGATATCCGCTTCTTGAACTATAGCGACACCAGCAGGAGCTTCACCAACTCCTGTGGCATGTTGAACGGCTCGGCTGGATCACTCTTCTCTGGACGACTGCAGCCAGACTTCGTCCAGGTCTATGTATCGAATTTATGCCGGTACGTATCTCGTCGTTTGCTACTTCGTTAATTCTCGCGCGTCTCCTAATGTTGGTGGGTGAAAGACAAAACCACTGAAAATGACGCCTCATTGTGATGGCACACATTACCGCAAAACTTTCTGCTCCTTCTCAGGGAGGTTGAGAGAGGCCCCGAATCATAGAGAGGCTGAGGCTTACGTGTTGCGACTTATATGCCTTTAGTTTGGCCACGCCCTCGGACTCAGCGAATTTCCCAGCTGTTCGTTTTTTACGCTCTCCATACAAATTTCAAGAAGCCACTGCAGCTCATGACAGTTACATAGTAATGCTCAAAGCGCGGGCGGGGGAAGTCTCATAACGTTTGTGTTTCGTAACCCACAGTAAACCCTCGCTCAGCGAGGGCAGTCTCACATGGCTCCTAAGGTTTTTCAGGATATGTTCTTTGACACGCTCTCGGGTGAGGGGGTCATTGAGCCCTCCCCGAAAGTTTTTCAGAATGGTTTCCGAACAGCGCGGCGTAGCCTCGCCAAATTTAACATAGCTGTAGACAATTTAGTAGCAGATCTTTTGACGTCCTAATTTTTGTTGTACCTTGTGAGGTCGCTGACCCATGGCAAGTCAAAGTCAGGCCATGGTTTTAGAGAAGGCAATTTCTAGGGAATCCTTCAATGTGATCCAAAAACGGTGTGTTAGACGAAGCCACTACATCTCTGAGATGCTTTCTTAGGCAACAAAACAGTCGAATAAGCAAGTTAAATTGGCCTAAGGTCAGATATATAGGTCACGCCAAGGTCAAAACCAACGTGTTTTGTTACTCTAAGGACTTGCTGTATGGAATAGTTTCTGGGCTCATTTCGAGTTTATGATAGCAGGAGCCGCATTATACATCTTCCATGGACTTCTTAGATGTCAGAATAGGTCATTTACCTATAATGACCCAGGTCAGCATTTTGTTTTAGGAGCATACCGCCTGGCGTAATCTTTGTCGCGTAGTCAAATGCAAAACTCAAAACAATCTTGTATGATTTTGTTCACCTTGACCTTGAAAATGTCGGACAAGGCCACTGACCTTGAATAACAATGTGACCTTTTGCTTAGAAACGGTTATCTAGGTTCTGGGGGCACTTAAGACACCAACCTGGAACTTGACCTTGTTTGACCTTTTTTGACCCGAAGATTATAACCTATGAACCTGAAACTTTGACCTAAGTGAGTTCACTGTACAGGTCAACACACCCTGTAATTTGGTGTCTCTAGATTTCTTAGTTCCCGAGATCTCAGGGGGTGTCAAATTGACCCCCCGCCCGAGCGAAGGGCATGTAGCCGGCCACCCGGGCGCGTGTTAAGGCTTTGAGCCCGGCACTCCAATTTGGAGTAACCAGACTTTTATAGTTTTTACCTATGCTGCAAAAATTTAACAAAATCTGAAGCTGATGGGCTATGACCTCTTCCTGAAGTTCATATCGGTGCATGTTGCCCAGAAGCGACATATAACGCTCATGGCTCACGGAAAATGCACTTCGCAGAGGTTTTATTGGAGCGACTTTCTTATCTATATCATCCTGCGGTACAGGACTATAAATCAGGCCGCTTTTTTCAGTCAAGTTATCCAAGGTTTTCCACTGGCCAGGCTAACGGATGCAGCAAACAAAGCAGGAGGAATATATCCCATTGGCGAAAAATCCAGAATGAAAAATCCTGACGTCAAATCAGGTAGCTTGTATGCCACTGTTCTGGACGAAAACAACGGATAAAAAGAGTCCCTGCACAATCCCGAAAGCTATATAAATGCAGTTATTTGAACCAATTCATCGATCAGACTGAGCGGTGCTCGACCGAATCAATTACACCTGAGAGAGATCAAATATAATGATCAAAGTATCTTTACTTGCTTTGCACATGACTACATAAATCCCAAGTTCCAGATTACATATAAAGAACGAAAGGCGTCCAGTACGGCTAGAGAATACCTTATCGTGACCTTGCTGTGAAAGTAGACTTAGTGAGCCAATAGATCTAATAAGTTAGCCCTTGCAGCACTGGGAATACAGAGTAAACGGAAATATTTTTGTCCAAAGGATGCCAGTCAGATGGCGTCGCTATGATCAAGTCGTTTGTATCATTTATTATTGTATCATGTACCATGTATCATATCACTGTATTATGTACTGATCGGTATGGTCGTTTGTTTAACACGCGTGTGCGTGGGAAGGGGTCAAATTGACCCCTCCCGAGGGCTTTTCCAGAATGGTTTTCGAACTTCGAACTGAACGGTAGCCCCGCCAAATCTGCATAGCTGTAGACAAATGAATAGTGGATCACTTGGCATCAAAAATTTATATGTGCCTTGTAAGGTCGCTGACCTATAGCAGGTCAAAGTCAAACCATGGCTTCATGAAGCAAACTTCATCTGATCCAGACGATGTTAACGAGCCATCTCTCTCTTTTTAACACACGTAAATGAGCTAAATGAGCTAGGGTCAGTTATGAAGGTCAGACCAAGGTAAAAACCAAGCCGTCTGTTAATCCAGGGCTTGCTGTATGGAATAGATTCCGGTGCTCATTTCGAAGCTATTGATAGCAGGAACCGCATTATACATCTTCCATGGACTTCTTAGAGGTCGAAATAGGTCACTGACGTGAAGTGACCTAGGTCCACATTTTGCTGTTAGGAATATGCCGTCTAGCGTAATCTTTGTCGCTTATTCAAATGCAAAACTCAGACAAATTTTGTATGATTCTGGTCGTCATGACCTTCAAAAGAACAAACAAGGTAACTGACCTTAAATGAGCGTGTGACCTTTTGCTTTGAAACGGTTATCTAGGTTCTTGGGGCACTTTGGAGACTTACCTGAAATTTGACCTTTTTGACCTTACTTGACCCGAACGCCACAACCCAGGAACTTGAAACCTTGACCTAAGTGAGGTCACGCACAGGCCAATACACCCTGTAAATGTGGTGTCTCTAGCTTTCTTAGTTCCCGAGATCTCAGCGGGGGATGGGTCAAATGGATCCCTTCCCCACCCGAGCGAAGGGTATCCAGCCGGCCACCCGGGCGCGTGTTAAGTGAAATTTGTCACTTAGATTATCGCAACACTGCTTTGCTAATCAGAGCATAGACAGGCTAGTTCTGTCTTATAAAACGCAGGATTTAACACAGAGTAAGACACGATAATCGTCATGCTAATAAACATCCAACTTTCCTGGTTGAAAAGGTTCTTGAACTGTTTCCAAGCACAAGGTTTGCACCAAAGTCGGGCAAGCTATGCGCGATTTAGATTGACACATAAGCTTTATGGTTCGGAACAAGAATGCATTTACTCTTCTCCCGTGATTATAGCACAGGACCGATGATTGCTCAACAATAGCTGAACCCTTCAGACTGTTCGGAATCTGGCATCTGTTTCTGTTCTGGTGGGCAGCCGGCTGGGGCTGCTGTCGGTTGATTTTGCCAGACAGGTATCAGAGCATCTGATCACACGACAATACTCTTGATAACATGATGAAGAGGCCTGGATGACCTGGATGAAAAGCTAGTTGGTATTACTATGATGGTAACTCGATAGCAGTGGGCGTGTAAGCAGCCTTAAAGCCTTCTTGCTCAAATAATTTTGCTCCGTTTCGGCCATACATCCCGAGCAGCATTGGAGTGACGCCAGCGCAGCTTGTTATATTTACGTTTTACGTAGTTTTTAATGAACAAAGCACTATCCTAGTGTCCACCACATAAACGTCCAAATATGCCATTATGCCTACAGCTCTCTGAAGCTGCCGTACGAAAAGGAAGTCTCCACGGGCGGCTTGGACGTGAACCGTTACGCCGCCACGGAGATGCTGTTCGGCAGCCCGGAGGTCAACCCTGACAACTGGTGCAACTGCCACGGACAGTGCCCACCTTCAGGTGAAATATCCCCTCCAACATCTAGCTGACACTGGCACTGTAACCCGCCCCTGTTCTACGATGCATTAAGCAGGCCTTTCCGAGCCCCTGACTAGCCTGGGATGGAAATGGCGGTCTCAGCTGGGAAATTCACACAACGCGTGTCCATGCCTCTTATCGTCTATATCATTCCTAACATTTATCTGCATCTAAAACTTTGAGCAGCATCTCAGCTTATCAGACCTTAATGTGAGCCTTCATGAACCCAAGGGATCAGTTGGTGTTATGTGTCAAGAACAAGCAGTGCAATAAGCAATGCAAAAGCAGTGCAGTCCACACCTACCACTAACGTGCTGTTGGAAATCTTTGAGCAAACTTCACCGCCCCTTTTGTGTACCGTGTTTTGTGTACTTTTTGTGTTTTTTTTCTGGGTTGCTAGCATCTGTCATGCAATCAAGGCAACGATGCTGTTGTTGGTGGCAAGCTTAGACCTCCAAGTCATTCGACTAATCATTCATTTGTCCATCAGTCGTAATTTGCTTTTATTGTGTTAAATTTGTATTGAAATATCACATGACATAACAAACCTTTTGGTTTAGAATCTGCAACTTCGACAAGAATGGCACATCAGTTCACGCGCAAGGAAAAGGTCATGAACCAATAGTGTGTGTTTTCTTATGTGTCTGCCAATGGGGGAAGTTGCCGTCGTGCTGCGCTGTTTTCATTTCTTCCATGTCTTGTATTGCGTGCCCTGTGATTGGGATCGCAGATATGTGTATGTGTCTGTATTAGCTACTCCTTTGTTTTGATGCTCGTGTTTGCACTTCGTACTTTGTACTGTGTTTGTGTTTGTGTTTGTCTAACTGTGCTTGTGTAACAAATTATGGATCGTGTCACCAATTCTGGATTATGTGGTTAGACGCGCGGTTCTGTTCCACGATAAAACCGGATTTCTCCGCGGGTAAGACCTTGCGCTCGTGCCTACCAGCGTGGCAATAACGTTGTGGCGTGGCAAGCGGCATTTGTGCTGGTCAAGCCAAAACGGTGCACATGCCTTCGTGCCATATCACATCATACATCCCAAGACCGTCTGCTGACCTCTGTCGGACGCCTGCTGACCTCTGTCGGACGCCTGCTGACCTCTGTCGGGCGCCTGCTGACCTCCGCCGGACGTCTGCTGACCTCTGTCGGACGCCTGCTGACCTCTGTCGGACACCTGCTGGCCTCTGTCGGACGTCTGTTGACCTCTGTCGGACGCCTGCTGACCTCTGTCGGGCGCCTGCTGACCTCCGCCGGACGTCTGCTGACCTCTGTCGGACGCCTGCTGACCTCTGTCGGACGCCTGCTGACCTCTGTCGGACGCCTGCTGACCTCTGCCGGGTGCCCGTGCTGACGCTAGTATGCCTGCGGGCCGGCTCCAGCTCCACGCTATGGTCGCCAGTGCGCGGCACTTGCAGTATGCTTGCACTCGGGAACAAAACAATGATAAAGGTGCCCTTTTTGCCGCCAGCTTGGTCACGCAGCCGATCACTGTAAAACATCGAACGCTTGCTATTAACGACGCCGGCCAATCACCGCATGTTGGAGGACCGAAATATCGCGTGTGACGTCGCAGTGCACGGATCCGATTGGAATTCAGCATTTGTATGCATGAATCATTTATTATGCATATTGTTGCCTCAGGATTTGAAAGCAGTAAGCATCACCAGCACTTAGTTTTGCTTAATTGTGAAAAAGTTGTGCGTTATGCAACACATAAAGGATATGGCATTAAGCTTGTACATTGCGCGATGCGGTTTCCTGGCTACGTGGCCGCAGAAATGTTTGTTGAATGACACTGTTTGTTGAAATTTTGACATGCCGTAAAACAGCATCGTACGTTCTTGATAGACCATTTTTAGACGTCGACTAAAAAATTGTAGCTTGGCATTGATTCGCCAGCATATGATACGCGTCAATTATTTGATAAAGGGGAGGTACGTGCTCATTGGGCTACTATGTGCGGAATTCCCTGAGGATAGAAACCAATAGTTCTGAGAGCAAATGATCCCCAAAAGAAAGTAAACTTTTTTAACTTTGCGCCAATATCTAGTGGTACCCAAATACCAAAATAAAAAACTGGAGTTGGTTGGCCGGGGCCAGCAGAAAAGATCGGTCGCAAAATATTCAGTTTTTACTATCCGCCCCTAGTACCAACGCGGTACTAGGCGATATTAGTTATAAACGGTAAAAATTGTTCCTAAAAACTTCAGAGAACCACTTCACGTATATTTTTGTAAGCAACGTTTTGCCCGAAAGTCCTAAAATTTTCGACAATCGCAACGTAGTTACATGGGCATTGGCGCTGTTTCCATTTGTTCCTCATATGCGTTTGAGTGAGAATTGAGCCCCGAAAAAGTGGCCTTTACGACAACAGTGCTTACTTTCCATGTGTGGAAACGTGCACACGTATGTGTGGGTGTATTGTGCGTGTATGTGCCTATATAGTTATGTGCAGACCTTTTGAGGGATGTAGAGGTGTGCATATCTGCGTGACGCGAGTGTGTGCGGTCTTGCTGATCTGTGCGGATGTGCGCTTGCGTGTGTACGTCCCGAGCCAGCACCAACCAACAGGTCGTGAAACCTCGCGGAAGTGGGCATGTCTTAGGCTAACCCAGGGTTGGCTGAATGGATGGCCAAGCCTCACGCATGAACACAACATGCGGCGCATGTTCCAGGTTTACTGGACATGTCGAACTGCGCGCCGTTAAACGCATTTGCCTCGTTACCACACATGCTGTTCGTTGAGCCGGGGATTGTCAACCAGACGGAAGGCCAGCATCCGGGCGAGGACGGCCATGTCCTGTACCTCGACATAGAGCCGGTTAGTAACGCGCGTGCAGTGGTGAGGTGAACTGTCTTGGGTTCTTAACGCGTTTCGTTAGAAAATGCCCCGGCGGAGCGTTTAACGTAATGCCGTGACACCTTTGAAGTTGCCAGTCGAAATCAAAGTTATTTCCCTCCCTTTGTGAGGCTCTTACATGCATACATACGTGAAAAATTCACCTGTAGCAGCTTTGTTTCCTCATATTGCATAGTCTCGTACATATGCGCATGTAAAGCCAACAAAGTTCCTATTTCAGGAAAATTTTACCTTAAACCTTGCCCAATAGCGCCAATTTTTTACCTAGCGAAACACGTGTTTTTACTGTCTAATGATGAATGCAATGGAAAGCAATTGATGTGTTTTGGGGATACATTTATGATGTTTGGCTCCAACGATTTGACAATGTCGGCAGAAGACTTCCGCTCTTCGTTTCGATAATGACATGCTGCCGAAATATCAACGCACGTATATCTCCATTCTCCTTGTTTTTCTCCGAGGAATGAGACTATTAATACTGTCTTATCTATGTGAATACTGCCCTCGCAAATGCACTTAACAACTTACGTGACAACGCGAACAGCGAAATGCTTTTTGTTCAGACACATTTTTTGGAGCGTTGGACATGCCGGGAAACATATAATTTTTTCATCTCCTTATAATAGTGTCATCGCCCCTCCACCGAATTGAGAAGTGGTTTCATGACACTGTCTTAACGGCTCCGCATTTGTTCTAAAATCGGACACCGTCATATCTCAAGCGGACCTTGAGACTGGTTGACGTGCTTATCGTGCGCCGCGGAAAAGCTGCTCCCACTTCGCGCCTCACGCTCTCCTGATTATCTTGCCTGACAAGACTCAAAGCACGTGGCTGAGCGATTTAAGCGTTATTGTAGTCTGGGAGGGAATATTTGCTCTTGAGCTGTGGGTCGGAGGTCAAGGCTCGGCACGAACTTAACGGTAATGGCTGGCGACGTGATGATGGCTGGCAGCGCGGTGTTGCCTGGCTGCTCGCCGTTGGCTGACATCTCACCGTTTCTGGCAGCTACCCGTTGGCTTACAAGTAGCTGTTGGCCAGCAGCTTGCCGTTGCCTGACAGAGCGACGTTGGCTGGCAGTTGGCCGTTGGCTGGCAGCGTGACGTTGGCTGGCAGTTGGCCGTTGGCTGACAGCGTGACGTTTGCCGACAGCGCGGTGGTTGCTGACCATCAACGCCCTTCATGTCTATATTTGGCATATTGAACAACGTTGTCAAGATTATTTACAGGCAGTAACGTGACATGCCTGCCCGGTTAAAACTTTGCCCAACCTGTGCCAGTTTCGCTGGGAGGGAATCGTGGCGTACCCTCCGCGAACGGTGGTAGGCGACCTTTCCCAGGAAGCTGGCTGTTGCGTGATAGGTCACGTGACATATCACGTGATCGGGTGCTGTCTATGATAGTCCACAGATGCCGTTGATGAACGCTTCCACAAACGCTTTAGCCTGCTGAAGGGGAATAGTGTCTTAAGCTTGCCCAACGCTCGACGTGTTTTCAGCACGGGGCGCCTGGCTGTTAGAGCTCACTCAGCGTACGACACTTAACCCACACGTACCGCGTCCTCACCACACCTCATCCGTCCTCTTACTGCATCCTCAGTACGCGCTCATCTGCCCTCTCGCTGCATCCTTAGCTCATCTGCTCATCTAGCGAGATATAGCGAGATATAGGATAAGCGAGAGGGCTCATCTGCCCTCTCGCTTATCCACCCTCTCACTGCATCCTCAGCACGCGTTCATCCGTCATCTCCCAGCATCGTCAGCGCGTGTTCATCCGTCCTCTCACTGCATCCTCGCCGCATGCCCATCTGTCCCCTCATTTTACCATCTCACGTTATGATTTCGCTATGCCATCCATCCATTGGCAGAGGACGGCAATCCCTGTTTCCGCTCTGATTTCACTATGCCATCCATCCATTGGCAGAGGACGAGAATCCCCGTTTCCGCTCTGATTTCACTATGCCATTATCCGTTGTCAGAGGACGGGAATCCCCGTTTCCGCCCTGATTTCACTATGCCGTCATCCGTTGGCAGAGGACGGGAATCCCCGTTTCCGCCCTGATTTCACTATGCCATCATCCGTTGGCAGAGGACGGGAATCCCCGTTTCCGCTCTGATTTCACTATGCTATCATCCGTTGGCAGAGGACGGGAATCCCCGTTTCCGCTCTGATTTCACCATGCCATCATCCGTTGGCAGAGGACGGGAACCCCTGTTTCAAGCCGATTGCGGCTACAAAACAACCTGCTGCTCCAGGCCAACCCCGACATCGCGTAAGTGCGGCACGCCAGCTGGTGCAAGGATAGGGCTCCAGCCGAATCAGTCTAGCTGCCAATGCTTGCTGTGGCTTTCGGGCCCTCGTCTTCTCCTAGACTGGAGTTGCGCCTTTCCGGCTGAGGCTTTTGTTCAGTGTTAGGGCATCAGGATAAACTATGGATCGATTCCCAAACGAATATGCGTTGTGTGTTCCAACGGTGCGGTGAGGCTGATCATATCAGGATATCAGACATATGACATATATGACATATGACATCTCAGGCCAGTCGTGACGAAGCATTAAGCTAGGCTGGAACATTTTGTGCAAGTTCTACGGATCTTTGTGCAGCGTCACTTCGGGAGAAAAATCGGATACCGGATTACTATGCCACCGAGAAAAATATATTACGCGAACGAATTGCAGTGCCAGAGCCGATTGCGGGAGCCCTGGGCCGCCACATAGACACAACAGCGGGTGTTCATTCCCTTCTCCGAGAGCCCTACTCACCTTCGCCCCCCCCCCCTCCCCCCACCAGGGTGCTGAACAACGTGCCGACGGCTTACATGCCCATTCTGTGGATCGAAGCCGCCGTCGACATTCCGCCGGACATGGTGGACCAGCTGTCCACGCTGACGAAGACGGTGCCGGTGGCGCTCCGTGCTGTCAGCGGAACGCTCACCGCCCTGGGCGGTGTGCTGCTATTCAGCGGTATTGCTCTCCGCCGGCACCGGCTCTGATCCGGCCCGGCCGACGACGGATCTGAGCCGGCGCCGTGTCTGATCCGGCTCGCTTCGACGACGGATCTGAGCCGGCGCCGTGTTTGATCAGGCTCGCTCGACGGAGCGGAGCCGGCACCGTGTCTGATCCGGCCAGGCCGATGGAGCGGAGCCGGCGCCGTGTCTGATCCGGCCAGGCCGATGGAGCGGAGCCGGCACCGTGTATGATCCGGCTCGGCCGATGAAGCGGAGCCGGCGCCATGTCTGATCCGGCCCGGCCGACGGAGCGGAGCCGGCGCCGTGTCTGATCCGGCCAGGCCGATGGAGCGGAGCCGGCGCCGTGTCTGATCCGGCCAGGCCGATGGAACTGAGCCGGCGCCGTGTCTGATCTGGCCCGCCCGATGGAGCGGAGCCGGTGCCAGAATTCAGAATTCATGTCCTAGGTAATGTTTAGATGTTGTTGCTCGATAGCTCTGCTGTTTTGAAATGAAAATTTCGCACGGAATAGTTATTGAAATATATATTGAATCGGTTGGCTTCGTTTCGGTCTAAAGTCTTGAAATCATAAAATGAAATCAAGCCTTCAAAGCCCAAGCCAAGTTCCGACGAAACAAGATAACCTGAAACCTCGTAACTCGCTCCTGGTCTCCATTTTTGTGGCGGCGGAAAGGAAGCCATTAACTACAACTTTCGGTCATATTGCGTATTTTGCTGTATCTGGTGCACGTTTCCCTATTTTCCTCCCCGCTGTTATCCCGTTACCATGGTGATGGGAGTTCGACGCTAGCCCCACCACTATCGCAATTTTATCCATGTTTCTCTATTATGTCTGACTATTTATTCATGTCGGTTGGAATCTGACGGGTGCATATCAGGTGTAAGTAAACTAATTGACGTTATGCTAATGCCCCTAACTGTTAATGTTATCCTTGCTTCTGCTGTCTGGTTACTCCGTCATGTATGTTTGGGCAGTGTTTACATGGTCAGATTCAAGTCGGTCAATATATATATATATATATATATATATATATATATAATTTTCTGGCTGGCTGTGGTGATGGCATCTGTTTCTAGGCAGGGCTTGGAGCTACCAAACATGCTCCCAATAAGATCTTATAATGGCACTCAGCGTACCATATCAGATAACGCTCAAACGCTTAAGACCACGATCAATTTTGATTGCTCACTGTTAAGTAGCTCCACAGCAAGTCTCAAATATCAGTTTTGGATTCTCACCTCCATTGTTCAATGGCCGTGAAGGCAGTCCCTAAATCTTTTAAGATCGCAGCATTTTTGCTCAACTGCATTCATAGTCTGAGAACATGCAAAGCTTCTGGCTGAATACCCTCTCCGTTTCCTTTGGTTACACATGAAAAACGAAGTCAAAAGTTAAAAGTCATAAGCTTCTGCCGTTAGTGTCGCCATTGCGAGGGTAGGAATACGCTGACACCGACGCTTAGCCGACGCTTAGCCGACGCTTAGCCGACGCTTAGCCGACGCTTGGCCGACGCTTAGCCGACGCTTAGACAAGTAAGACGTAAGAAGCGCGGGTAAGATGTTTGCAGATGATGCGAAGAGATCTGTCGCATTCCGAGGCCCCTGGTCTCTTCTCCTCTCCAGGTTGACCCCGAAGATGTAAGAAGCGCGGGTAAGATGTTTGCAGATGATGCAAGGAGATCTGTCGCATTCCGAGGCCCCTGGTCTCTTCTCCTCTCCAGGTTGACCCCGATGACCTGGTCAAATGGCCGGCGGCGAGGTTTATTTTGTCAGCACGTCAAATCGCAGTCGAGCCCACTGAAAAGTACCTTGCGGTCTCCGTAAACCAGACGCAATTTCCACGTGCGTATGACGGAGGCGGTCTCAAAGGCCAGGCAGATGCTGATGGTTGTGAGGCTGCCATTGGCCCGCGTTGACGCTTTCGCGACGCCACTGCTGTACAGGACCATGGTATGCCCGTTTTGGCGCAACTATTCAAGCGCATGACATCACGCTCTGAAGGCCCTTCGGCGAACGGGATCAGGAGCAGCTGGAGCAGGCTTAATGATGAGCTTGATCAGCAATGATGATCATCTTGTCCGAGAAGTAAGGCACCGGCTGTATCATGAGAGGCACCGACTCCTCTAACTGTCATTGCTGCTATAAGGACGACGTAGGGATGCATGGCTGCGGTGTTCTAGATCTTTCACTAAGGCATGCCTTTGCCGGTGGTCGAGTTGCTGTCACTACACGGACAAGTCATGCCGACGGCTTAGGGATGCATGGCTGCGGTGTTCTAGATATTTTACTTAGGCATGCCTTTCCCGTGGGTGAGTTGCTGTCACGACTCGGAAGTGACAACAGGAACCCGCTGACACTCGTGACATCCCTCAAGTCAGGACCTTTAGAACTCGGCCGGCTCCCTGGCTGCAAATAGTTGGAACGTTCTTCCATCGGCGATAGTATAGCTGAGTGCTTTAAAGCTACGATCGAGTTACGCTGGGCTGGCACCATGTGCGGTATCCTATATCGATCACGTTCCTTAAATGAGGTTCTTCGGTTGCATGAACGGAAGCCCAAAAACCGACATCGACAGACCAAGTCGCCTGTAATCCCTGATCACCATCGGGTTATGTCGGTAATGCGGTAAAACCGACATCGACAGACCAAGTCGCCTGTAATCCATGATCACCATCGGGTTATGTCGGTAATGCGGTCAAACCGACATCGACAGACCAAGTCGCCTGTAATCCCTGATCACCATCGGGTTATGTCGGTAATGCGGCAACTAATAGTTAAGACCTCGTTGATGGAACTGGTAACGCAATCCCAATATTTTTGGATGCACGGTTCATATATGATTTATGAGTTAACCTGGTCTTGATATGTGTTGGCTGCGGGTGTGCCATCAAACATGCTTTTCTGCGCATTCGTTCTCACTGAAATTTTGCAACGCATTCGAGGAAGAGGGCTCTACAGGCCCAGCTGGACGCAAACTGGGCTCTTCTTGGACAGTATCTCAGCTTACTCGGTATTCAACAAGAGACTGGGTCTTGGTAGGACGCAGGCCGGGCTCCACTGCCATCAAAATCTGCCTAGTCTAGGCCACCGTAATCTATCTGGTTAGATCTATCTAATGCTATCTGGGTTAGATACATTAGCGTTAGCACCATTACGAATGTTAGAGCTTAGGGCTGTTTTATCAACTAGATGCGGGTAGAATGATTCATTTACGGCGTCTGTGTTCCGGCGCTTCGAAAAACCATCTTAATCATCCGATGCATGTATTGCTGTTTGGTACATCAGTATCATATTCACAGTGGGACTCACGAAAACACAATACGTTGATGAGACCACAATCAACGCTTTCCTGTCAAGTTCAAACTGGCAGCTCACAATGATTGCATACAGTAACACCGTGGTCGTGAGTGCATAATAAGTGATGTTCATCATTTGTTCACAACATAGCCACTGTTCAGTTTGAGCGGATAAACGCATTGCTGTCTAACTGCACATTCCACCAGGGTCGCATTCAATGGGGCACCGGCAATACGTACCCAATTCCTGCTTACTAATTTCAAAGCGCATTAAGATGCACATTGCTAGTCGTCGACGGTTGAAAATTCGAGAGAGACGGATAAGACTAAATCGATTGAAAACGTGTCGCATTCATGTACGTCCCGCAAGTAATTTTAGCCATCTGCAGCACGTTGAAATGATTGCTAGTCAATTTTGTAGATTGCAACGCCCAAAAAACAAAATTTTGCACACGCTGCTGCCTGCAATAGCCAGCCGTAATTTTACCCGGACTGGCCGAAGTGCTGAAACAGGACGCGTTGTCGGCGTTGCCAAGCTTCGATACACCGGATTCGTCCTTACCTTCTCACAGCTCCGCAATTGCTTCGTAGGGACGCACCCACGACTAGGTTTGGTGCGATCTGGGTCCTAACCACTATTGAACAGGTTTGGGCCTTTTGGTCATGTATGGTGTTTGACTATATCAAATGGCATCCAAGCAATGTTGGATCCCGGCAACATTTCAGGGGGGGGGGGGGGCTATGTGACTGGCTCCATACCTGCCTTCGAGGGCTGGATGCTGAGAAGCTCATCCAGCGTCAAGCGGAGATCACGGCGCGCGCGGGTGTTTTACAAGATCACATCCTGTAAACATGGCTTTCTCCACACGTAGATCACAGGGGCATACACCAAGTCATTGCAACCCTATTCGGAAATTTTCTAATACGATTGCCCAGGACGCTTCCAGCATTGGAAAAGTTTTTCGGAAGGACTGATCCAAGGCATTGGCATCACCGATGAACTAATTGTTCGGACCATCATCTTCGCCTGGTGTCTTAGTGTGTTCACGACGTGTCGGCCAGTAAACTAAAGTTAACAGTAAAGTAAACAATCCGGGAAGTCCCTCTCCAGTTAGCTCAGCTGGTAGGGCGTTGGACTCGTGATCAAAAGACACGATTCAAGTGCCAGTGCTTCCGGGAATAAAAATCGTATCATGACGGATATATGACCGAAAGACAAACATCGTCCAGTAATTCTCTGCACTCAATATTACCCAAGGACAGTGGAAGAATGAGCTGGCCGTAGCGTTGCTTGCAAACTAACACACCAGAAGAGGAAGACAGTTCGACAGTTCTTCCGTCCGTGTAATCTTAAGTTCGAAGTCTTCAGCAACAACACACCCAGCGAGTCGTGCGGATGGGCAGGGATCACGAGCTGGTGTGTTGCTAGACCATGGGTGACGTCAGACGCCGCTGATGACGCCAGGCCATGAGTGACGTCAGACGCCACTGGTGATGCCGGGCCACGAGCCATCGCCAGACACAAGTCGCGTGCATACATGGGTACGTGATTTGCTACACTGCTGAAGCTCGGACGGCAATATGAGTAGAAACATCCGTTCGCATCCATCGAGAGCAGCTGCTGGCATTTCGGCCGCAGCGGCAGCGCCCGAGTTCAGCAACGTTCCGCGAGCGCAGCAACAGCTCCCGAGCACAGCAGCAACCCCTCGAGCACAGCAACCGCTCCGAGTGCAGCAGCAGCTTCCGGGTGCAGTGAGCCTCGCTCAACTCAGTCTGGGCTCAGCAGCGGTCACCTTACTCCATCTCGACAACCGCGCGCGCTTTGGAATTGAGGCGACGGGAAATCACGTCGTACAAGGTGGGCTAGAGGGCAGCACTCGTCAGACTCGGTGCATGCAGAGGGCAGCACCACCGGCCAGCACCAGGCCACCTAGAGCGGTGATGACCCAGCTGCCGACTTGCAGCGCCAGCGGTATCGTGCCCGTGATGGTGATGAACTGTGCCGCCAGCTCCGGTGTCGTGTCCACGGCGTTCTCGAACCAGAACATGGGCATATGGGCCCTTGGCAGGTGGTTGAGCACTCTGGGGGTAGCGAGCAGTCAGTTGAGACTTCTGGAGCACAAATGACACCTGTACTTGAACCTCTGTGTGAACATCCAGGGCCCAGCAAAAAAAGCAGGTGTCAGTAAAATATGTCACCTTGCAGTGGCCCCTGCGAACAATCACTTGCTTGGGGGCAGCCTAGCGCTGCGCCGACAGGTCAGCGTTGGAGACGTTTGCGAAAAAAGGGAAAACGCATGCAGACACACCATAATCACGAACGAGGGCGTTTGGGCCAAGTCCATTTGGTCGTGAGCTGCCCGGCTCATCGCCAGCAGCTCATGCAGGTTTTCCCAACATTGTCCAGCATGCAGACTGGTCAAAGATGGCAAGGCAGTGGCCGACGATCGTTTTTTGTTGCAGGCAGGTGATCGATATCTGCATTATATTTATTCAAGATATTCGCCGGTAGGCGCTTTTTCGCTGGTCTACATTGCGACACATTCAGTCTTTCCTTAAGCGCTGGTGCATATTTGACGAGGCGAGCATCGCAAGCATGATACATAGCAAGTTTTGACCATATCCACCCCAGGGTAGCGTGGTGGCCAAAGTCAGCTCACAGCAAGCGCAATATCAAAGCGACGCAAACCTGCGAATTTCTTTACCAGAAACGCTGATGGGAAATTGCTGTCGGTGAATGTTCAGTATCCATAGATTTAACGTTGGCGTCATACACCACAGGAGTGGAAGGGAAGTGGAACAGTGGAGGGAGGAGAGCGTGGAAGCACGGAACATCTCCCGCAAGAGTTGCGAAATTAAGCACTACGCCTGCAGTGCTGCACGGGAATAACCTTTGTCAGCAACCTGATGCCCCTCCCCATCCCACCAACCCCCAACACCTGGCCCCAGACAGGGCCACCGGTAAGAACAACAACAAAGGCATGTGCACATTGTCGCCAGTGCAACCATGCCGCATGATCAACTTTCCACCTGGTGGCTTTCATTACGGCTTTTTCGTTAACTTCAGGCTGCCGTACCAGGACACTTCATGCCCCGGTTATCCACAGTAAAGGGCTCCTCACTGTCTGACAAACCTGGCAGTACCTTTGGGTGAGATCTTAAATCATCGTTGACCAGTGAAGTCAAAGAACAAAAATAACGTTTAGAATGCAATGTCAAGGCAACGTGACACGCCTGACGCCTGCTCAGCGTAACAAACACATGTCCTAAACACGGCCAGTCCCTCAAGGCAATGTGGCAATGGAGCGTGAAACGAAGTCATGCAAACTCGTCATGCAAATTTTACCGCAAAAAGTGAATGCATTGCACCTTGCACTGCCCGCCCTCCCATGACAGGACCGTCTGACATCACGTGACAACATCTGGAGTACGCGCTGTCCCTGACCGCGGTCTATGCCAACCAGGGCCAAGTAATGAGTGCGAGCCGCGTCTCACACCCTTCGAGACACCAGTGTGGTACGTGGATCGCAGACGGTCCAACCAACTGAGCTCTTGGGGCGAGCCCCCCGACGGAAGGGAAATGTCAGATACTTGTGTGGGCAAACTTGGGAAATAAACACGGGCGCTTCCGGAATACATGAACGATATATTTAGAGTGAAGAACAGGAAAGCATAGCCAACTCAGATTTCTGTTTTTATGTTTAGAGTCGCGTCAGACTCGTAGGTGGAAATGGTGATAAGAGTGCGGCGCTAAGATTTTCAATTACCTTGTTCCTTGTTCAGCAAAAATTTCAGCAGCATTGAAATTCTAAACTGGCATAAACAGGCGTGTATTTCACTTGGCTGGAGCCAAATATCCATATACATCTCACACCCTGGACTCCTGAGTACGCCAGTGGTGTTTTCATAGGCTTTAGTTTATGTCACGTGGCTCTGTACAAGGCGTCGCTGTTCGCCAAACTCGGTCCAACATCTCCACCAACATCAGTGTGTTGGTCCCAGCGTCTTTCCCGGATGGAAATCAGGCATAACTATCAACATAAAAATGAGTGATATGTTTTTGTTGTGCTTTACTGTTATGTCTTCTAAATATTTGGCTTTGATGTTATGGAGGTGCCAATGCTTTTTTAAATATAATCCCAAAGGTTGTCTTCAAAACTAACAGCTGGTATGTTCCTTCCTCCCTTTCTTTCGTTCCATTCCTAAGATCGCCTCAATGAATCCGTTGGTTAGAGCGTCCGCCTTTCGATTTAACCACTAATGTCGAGGGGGCGGGGGTTCGACTCGATTAGGTCAGGTCGGTTAAAGGTCATGTGACGTCAGAGGATTCTACACTCAGAGTAGGGCGTGCCGTGACAAGCTTTGCGGGGCGCGATGTTTCGCCATAAAAGTCTGCCGCTAGCCTGAAATTTCACCATCGGATGGGTTGACGTAACAAACACTGCATAGTGCGGGCGCTGCTACAAAAATATGTATCTATATCTATATCTATCTACCTATTTATTTATCTATCTACCTATCAGTCTATCTTATATATATATATATATATATATATATATATATATATCATTGGTTACGAGCAAACCTTCTAGGTAATGAAATGCTGCAACAAACTCCTCAGTTAACGTTTCGTACATCCTCCCGCATGTGGTCAAATGGTGATGTATCCCACCACCCATACGACTGATAAGCGAATAAAACCAACGGAACAGCAGCCTCTTCGATTCCGGTGTGGCTTCACCACCGCACCGTCGAACGAGTGGGTCGGTCGCCGATCACTGAACCTCTCTGACCTGTCTGCTGCCGAGGGCATAGGTCGGGGTCAGGCCTGCTCCGCACGACAGCTTTGTGCTGCGATACAGTCTACGGTTCCGGAACCAGAGCCAAGGCACTTTCAGTTTTCAGGGACATTGGGGGACATTCAGGTATACAGGGGCATTCAGGGACTTGAGCTAGTAATCCTTTTTTCTTATTTATTGGGGATTCAAGGGAGTATTTTTGGAGTAGGTGGGTGGGGGAGGACTCATGTCAGCATTGGGGGTGGCGCTCGGCTACCAGAAGTATATAAAGTGACGCCCCTGACCAAAGCAGACTTCTGCATAGAAAAGAAATAGTGGTTAAAGTGAATGTTCCACATTTGACGATACTGAAGCAGCTATCAGATATCATGAAATACGCCCACTTATAGCTATTAATATACCGACAAGTGGAAAAGACTGCTTGGGTTAACATGGCTTGTCTGTTCAGTAAATATCCTCCTAATATGTCATAGTTTGACAACGTCATCGTACCTTGCACCATATCGATCAAGAGTCAGTCGCAGGCCATGCTATTTCGAAATGGCCCCCACGAACAGCAAATATGAACAGTTCAGCCGGTCAGATATGAACAGTTCAGCAGAACAGTTCAACAGTTCATATTTATTATATGATATTTGTCTTAGCCTTGATCGCCACATGGCTAATGGAGTGACAGCATGTGAACGACGTTATAATGGCGCCATTGATACCTGGATGATTTTGAAATAGTCCCCCCCCCCCCCACCCGAAAATGCATGCACATCTTCGCGGGCGGGTATCTAAAAAATTACACGGGCTTAGATTTTAAGGTCAGTTTGCAAACTGCACCGAATGATCTTCAAGATGGCCATTTCAGTTAGAGTCCCCGTATCAATGTGGAGCACTCGCCCTCCGAGCGGCGTGCAGGGTTAATAATCGACATCGTTGAGTCGGCGCACTGGGTCATGCAGTTTTGAGTGCACAGACACACTGAGTGATGGAAATTATGCTGATCTGGTGACATCCATGCAGGAATCACTGCATCTTCACGATAGACCTTGGGTCAATAATTTAGTCGAGCAGACATAGCACAAGAATGACAAAGCTGATATCGGAGAAGACAGCATGAAAATTTTCCCACGGTTTGACGAAAACGAGCCTTATAACAGAAGATAAAATGTAGTTCAATGTGGATCAAGGACAGGGGGTTCAAGTACATCACTCGGAGCTGGCCGTCAACAAGGGCATCGGTTTCATCATCCTCCCTCCGACGCACCCAAGGGTTCCCATTTTATGTAACCACCTATCTTTTCAGCCGATAGCGCTCGCCACTCACTTGATATCTGGGTTGGACTTAAGAAGGAGGTTGATCTGAAACCTCGCCCTCACCGACACGGAAGTTCCTGTCGTCTGTCAACAGAGGCGAGACCAGAGCGTGAAATGGTGCGGTGGGCAGATGCGCGAAAACAATGTGAAGTGGTAATGGGGGCGGTTAGGGCGGTGGGCGGATGCGCGAAAACAGTGTGAATTGGTAACGGGGGCGGTTATATGGCCCTCGCAGATGTGACCTGATGACGATGGCACACGTCTTGTGACCTGGTACGCTGTGATGGGTGTGTGCTGCATGCCACCAGAACCGCGCACGCCTCACCGTTCCCAGGCAGCAAGTCACCAATTGACGCGACTGGAAGACGATTATGCTTACTCAGTTTAGGAGGATCATGCATGCGTATTAACATGCATGGACGTCTCGATCACAATCCTTGATCGTCATGGGATGTTTGTAGAATTCAGTGAAGCGCAGTGACCTTTACTGAAAACGGTCAAATATTTTGGTCTAAACATTTTGCGTGTGTTCAAGCGTGCATGCACGGCGCTCGAAGGCCACAGCAAATATAAACACAAAGCTGCCTTGAACATGCATATAGGGAAGAGTCCATGACATTGACATTGGTAATGTCAGCAGCAGATGGAACATCTTCCGGGAAATTTCAGTCAATGCACATTGGTAACGTCAGCAGTAGGTGGAACATCTTACGAGAAATTTCACTCCAATGTACAACGGTGACGTTAGCAGTACATGGCACATCTGTCAGGGAATTTCACCCGATGTACAACGGCGACGTCGGCAGTACATGGCACATCTGTCAAAGAATTTCGCCCAATGTACAGTGGTAACGCCGGCAGTAGATGGAACATCCGTCAGGGTATTCCACCCCATGGCGCGCCTGCCCCAGCTGGTCATGTTGCTCTGTGATCCAGCTACTCGGACCGACGCATCGCTGCAACCGGCGGGGCAACGACTGCCGCGACTCAACCTCGTCAGCAATGGTGGAGTAAGCACAGATTCAAAGTAGATTGCAACCCACCCAGTCTTATCTACACTTTTGACAACGCAAATACGGCGCAGACTATCTTACATATCAGGCAGGTTTGTGTGATGACCCACATTCCAAGCCTTCAAAGGGCTATGCTATCGGACCGGCAGTGCCACCTGAGTGCCACCTGATAGATGAAGCTCAAAATACGTCAGCTTTATGTGATGATATCGCTCGTCTATGTTGTCATATTTCACAAAAATACGAGGGGCTCAAAGTACGAATGGGATTTAAAATCAATCAAAGGATACAAAAAACAACCTCTTCTGCAAAGAAGGTTTTAAGTAGACGGCAGAAAGCGCCTTCAAACGGATGATGGCTGCATTTTTAACCTGTTTCCAGATCGACCCGAATGAAAATCAGACGCCAACAATGTATCACTGATCGTGCAAGTGGAGGAGGCGACTGGGTGTTGGTCTACGCACCGGTTGGTGGCTGTGCTGTTGGTCCGCGGACCAACAGCCGTCCACCTAAATGCTGAAGCCATGCCACTGACCGGTTCTATGTCGATGTGGAAGTTGTGGACGTCCGCCTCCGGACGTTGGCCCTCTGTCTCGTTGATAGCCTCCGGGTCAGCAAACAGCATGTGTGGCAATGAGACAAAGGCCTGCATGCTCTGCCGACAGTGTGACTGGTCCAGCAAACCTGCAACAGGCCGCACACTTCACATGTGGGAGCGTCGAGGGTGGAGTTCAGTGGTCCTGTTCAGCATCACCCGGAGTCCAGTGGTCCGGTTCAGTGTCATTCGGAGACCAGTAGTCCGGTTCAGCATCACCCAGGGAAGAACAGGGCAGGTCTCCTACGTGATACGCACAACAGCTTATAAGTGACGGGCGAGGCCTACTGTGTTTGCATAAATAATCTGTTCAATCGTCGCTTGGAACTGTTGCACGAGTGCAAAGCACCTGGGAAAAAGAATGCACGTGGTGATAGATGCCTCCTTAAAACAAAACAAAAGCAAAAAAACTGCAAGTAAGTATGACATTGCGTATATAAAAGTCACCATATGTTAAACAGATAGCAATTAAGTAAAATGATTGTTGGTTGATAATGTATTTATCTACACATCGATGGGCTGCTTTGACTTCATGGTGACACAATATCATAGTACATAAAGTTGACATACCATTGGAAACGTTTGGTACTGAGAATTTATAGAGTGCCTGGTCCCGATATTTATCTTGTAGTTTGTGGTACCTTTACTTCGTACGTACCCAATACATAGTGTGCAAGGACATTACAAATCATCGACCAGTTGCATGTAATCTCTGACCGTCCGTGAGGTTTTAAACTCTGAATTATAATTTTCATAGACCAGCTTTTTACTGTTCAATCGATGCTCTTCAAAATCCAAGATGCAAATAGATAACGTTTGTTAATATGTGAAATATGACACCGCTGTATCATGATCTGCATGTCTGCAATCTACGTAACCTGCGCAATCGAAATTCACCGGCCAATTAATCTAGCAGCCCGAACTGCGGCACGATGCCTGGGCGCATTTGTCACAATTGCTCAACGTTTTATGATTACATACTAGACATTCTATGACCATACAATCAGACATTTGGATGCGCTCTCACGGTATCAATGGGCTTCAATATTTGAACAGACCCATTACACATTCAGTACTCACAGCCTGTATCGTCAGCAAAGCGACCATCACCGTTCTGTATACTTTGCTAAAAAAAATATCCGAATTTTTTGAATGAATGAATTTCTGACATAAGAGTTGACGGTAAGCAGTGCTTGCTGAACGGGCCCTGGCCCCTACCATCCGGTCGGAGAATTCCAGGCTAACGGCATAATTTGATGGCGAAAGCTTAACGTGCCGCAGCTCTAACCAACTGAGCCATGGAGACGCACGGACAGATATATGCATATATATATATATATATATATATATATATATATATATATATATCGATGCATACTTCAGTAGAGACTGGCCGGGGCGCGAACGGGTGGCCCGGATTCCGCGAATTGAGCCGGCTGCGTCCTTGCCCGGTCGCCAGGGCAGACTGTTAGCCCACCATGCCTGCTGCAGCATACAACTGACGGCGGGTGGTTGTCCGGACCTCACCTGAGGGTGGACACTCTCCGTGACAGTTGCACCAGTTGTCAGGGTTGACCTCCGGGCTGCCGAACAGCATCTCCGTGGCGGCGTAACGGTTCGCGGTCAGGTCGTAGACGGAGGCTTCCTTTTGATATGGTACCTTCAGAGTTCTGCGGCGGTGAGGATATGCGGTTAAACACACCATGCAGCTGATTTATGCATGGGATACATCGCATTCTTCAATCATGTTGGAGAGGTTTATGCGCGCTGACGTATGTTGACGTAGGCGAACAAGTACGTATCTTGCGACAGTACTGTCAGCTGTGCTCTGCTTTGATTTTTTTTTTACCCATGATTCGGTGCATGACTGGAGCGCGGATTCCTGGCCTGTCCGCTGCTGCCGTGATCACTGACTGCGTCCGCTTGCCCGGTGATAAGGGCACGAAGGCACACTGCTGGTGACGAGACGTTTGCCGGCATCGGTCTGTAGGCCTGTCCACCGGTATAGGCCTGTAGGTCTGTTTACCGGCACTGGTCTGTAGGTCTGTTCACAGGCATAGGTCTGTAATCTGTTCACCGGCGTAGGTCTGATCTTTAGGTCTGTTCACCGACGTAGGTATGTACGTCTGTTTACCAGCATAGGCCTGTAGGGCTTTTAACTGGCATATATCTGTAGGTCTGTTTACCGGCATAGGTCTATAGGTCTGTTCGCCGGCAAAGGTCTGTAGCCTGTTCACCGGCATAGGTATGTAGGTCTGTTTACCAGCATAGGCCTGTAGATCTCTTCACTGGCATAGATCTGTAGGTCTGTTTACCGGCATAGGTCTGTATGTCTGTTCACCGGCAAAGGTCTGTGGCATGTTCACCGGCATAGGTCTGTTGGTTTGTTCACCGGCATAGGTCTGTAGGTTTGTTTACCGGCACTGATCTGTAGGTTTGTTCACCGGCATAGGTCTGCAGGTTTGTTTAGCGGCACTGGTCTGTGGGTCTGTTCACAGGCATAGGTCTGTAATCTGTTCACCGGTGTAGGTCTGGTCTTTAGTTCTGTTCACCGGCATAGGTTTGTGGCCTGTTCACCGGCATAGGTCTGTAGGTCTGTTCACCGGCTTAGATCTGTAGGTCTGTTTACCGGCATAGGTCTGTTGAGAAGAACTGGATGAAGTCCTTGTGTAGCCTCGCAGGGAAGAGCTCGCCGGCCGAGCCATTCAGCATGTTGCAGGAGCCAGCGAAAGCGCTGCTGGTGTCGCTGTAGTTCCAGGAGTATATGTTGCCCATGCGGGAGACGTCACTGCCCGTGTCCATGTTCACAACACCGTCGTAGTATGGGGTAGTGTTGCGCTGCGACGATGGAACATGTTCCGTTGGTTCACAACAGCAGGGTGACTCGTGGAAGACGTGCGAAGAAGTGGAGGCCTAAGAAGACACTCACAGGCATGTCATAAGATTTTTGATTTTTTCGAGACCACAGACGTCGACATTTTGTCGTCCACACTGCGCAGCACACACGGGTGCTCTGTCGCCTCAGGTGTTAACGGTCGGGAAGTGTGCCGATCTAATCAGGGTCTGATCGGTGAGCACACTTCTCTTGCAGCTCATGTCTCTGCGATAAGCTGAGGGGCTATCGTGGCACTCCACTGCACACGAGTGCAACAAGTCGGTCACGCTTACATAAGAGGCCCTCCCAACCAGCGACACGTTAAAGAAAGGCACGGAAATGTGCCGTACGCGTATCCCAAAAAACGCACGCATGATGGTATGTGTGACCTAAGGTATCTTAGGCAACACGCACCATGTATGTGTTGCCTAAGACTCAAGTACCACTACCGTCCTTAATTATTGATAACATACCCGCGTACGTTACACAGTTACCCTTGTGAGGAAAGTTTTCTACTTTGTTATTTGTGCATCGCAGGCTTTTATCAACAGGACTGTCAAACAGTGCAGCTTGGTAGATATAAGGCAAAATAGTTGCACGTCAGCCCCTGGGTACAGCCTCTCCTCGGCCACACAGCGCTTACTGTAAGAGACGAGCATGCGCCGGACAAGGTCACTTTATGACACTCTCATCTTGACAACACGCTGTGTCACCACACTGCGACAAAACCAAAGCGGCACAATGATTCTGATAAACAGCTTTCAAAGACTATAGAGAGCTTGTGCTTTTAACGTAGTCAAACACAAAATAACGCTGATCATCATGTTAGCTACATAAATCACCACGGTCAGGCGATCATTTAACTTGTCAAAAGAACCTGATATAAAAGTAAACGCTTTCAGATCCAGGTTTTTCGTCATGATAAGTGCAGACTTGTTCTGCCCAGTTTCTTGTACCAGCACGTCCTGATGAATTGCAAGCATCCACTCGGCATAATAAATCCGAACTCATAAAACTTTCAAGAGCTCAGTTTAGCACTCAATAGCTTAACACACAGCACACCATGCTTGTCGCACGATATTAACAGACTGGGTCACATAATTTTCTACCTCTCATCTGTCTGCCCGCCGCCGTCCGCCGTCAGCTGTATCTAAATTTCGGGACACCAGAAGCATAATGTCCTTAATCAGACACGGCCACACCCGTGACCAACTTCCGTTGGTAAGCCGTAATCCACCTGAGGTCTGTCAGAGTCGCAGCAGCCAGCCGACAGCCGCGGCCACCGGCCCAGCTCTGACAGAGCAGACGGCTGTGACCACCGGCCCAGCTCTGACAGAGCAGATGGCTGCGGCCACCGGCCCAGCTCTGATAGAGCAGATGGCTGCGGCCACCGGCCCAGCTCTGATAGAGCAGATGGCTGCGGCCACCGGCCCAGCTCTGATAGAGCAGATGGCTGTGACCACCGGCCCAGCTCTGACAGAGCAGACGGCTGCGACCACCGGCCCAGCTCTGACAGAGCAGACGGCTGTGACCACCGGCCCAGCTCTGACAGAGCAGACGGCTGCGACCACCGGTCCAGCTCTGACAGAGCAGACGGCTGCGGCCACCGGCTCAGCTCTGACAGAGCAGACGGCTGTGACCACCGGCCCAGCTCTGACAGAGCAGACGGCTGTGACCACCGGCCCAACTCTGGCCGCTACTCACCGCGTAGAACCAGCCGAACTTGTCGAACGGCACCGCGATGTGGAGGAACTGCTCCATGGCCACGGCGGCGTCCAGTAGAGGGTCGTTGTAGCCCTCGAATAGAAACTCGCGCACCGTCTTGGTCACGAAAGCCTGACTGCCCACGCGGTTCACCATCAAGTTGAACATGTACTTGACCAAGCGGCCCATGTCCTTAACCGAATCGGCAGCGGCCTGCGAAGGTCAGGGTCAATGTGTCATGCCACGGAAGGTCAATATATTTGACGTGACATTGCAATTCAAAGACGTTGAGCGTCAGGTCTCTCTCTCTCTCTCTCTCTCTCTCTCTCTCTCTCTCTCTCTCTCTCTCTCTCTCTCTCTCTCTCTCTCTCTCTCTCTCTCTCTCTCTCTCTCTCTCTCTCTCTCTCTCTCTCTCTCTCTCTTCTTTCTTTCTCTCTCTCTCTCTTTCTCTCTCCCTCTCTTTCTCTCTCTCTCTTTTCACTTTATTTGCCCTCCCCTCTCCTCTTTCTCCCATCCTCTCATGCACAGTCTCAGACGGTAAACATTCTTACCAAAAGAGGAACATTCAGTGTTGTAACTCTGTCCTCCACCGTGCCGTTGGACATGTCCGGCTCGAAGAACCAGGTCTTGATCTGCATGTATGTGACGGTGTCGTTGCTGTTCCACGTTATGTTGACCTTCTGATGTTCTTCTCTGAGGAAGGTTACTGTTAAGGAGGATCTGTTGTATGTTGTGCACGAGCGTTACCCGCGCGATGGTGTAGTTTTTTAAAAAGGAAATAAAGTAGCCTTGGAGAGATGAAGTAAAAACAATTGTCGTATTTTAATAGTAAGAGCAGTTAAGTTATTTTAGAACATGACGAGTTTATTTATTAAGCACGTAAGTTAATCACAACATAAAACACGATGCGAGGGCATATCACAATAACAGTCACAAAGGGGTTATGATTGAGGTCCTTTCTGGGTACCCGTGACGTTGAAGCTTTGGTGTGACCATTCACAAAGCGATTCATTTTAAAAATGTTGTTTAACTCTAATTTTGTTCGAGCCCCGAAGGTCCGACATATACTTTTGTTCGGGCCCCAAGGGTTCGACATATACTTTTGTTCGGGCCCCGAAGGTCCGAAATATACTTTTTGTTTGGGGCCCCGAGGGTCCGACATATAATTTTGGTCCTGCTCCGAGGGTCCGACATATACTTTTGTTCGGACCCCTAGGGTCCGACGTATACTTTTGTTCGGGCCCCGAGGCTGCGACATATACTTGACCTTATTTGGTAGGGGTGCAGTTTCGCAGAACGAGGTTGGGAGCCCTTCAAACGAAAAAATGGCTTACCCTCTCCCGAAAATATGCCAACAAACAAATTTTTCCGCGGATTTGGCCCACTTTCTTCCCAAATTTGGGGGGGGGGGCTGAGGCCCCAAAAGAAGAGGAACGAACACCGCTGGGTGACTCCCGACAGGTCCCAGGGCGTCACCGATGGATCATGTCATGATAGGCCCTAAGCGGCTTTTCCTGGAGAGATGAGCTGAGCTTACAATGACACCGTGGGCTCACGAAAAGCAATCTGTAACAAGCGAGGACACCATGGCGCTGCAAGCATTGTAGATTACCACTGACTGCTACGCAGCGTACGTCTAAGCATTAAACGGGTATTTGGTACAAAAACCTGGAAACGCTCACTGAATTTTTTTGACATTTTCCATAGCAACGCAATTGGTCACAAGGAAACAATCGAAGGTTGTGACCCGGACTTGTGGCTGTGACTCTGCCAACAAACAAATTTTTCCGCGGATTTGGCCCACTTTCTTCCCAAATTTGGGGCGGGGGGGCTGAGGCCCCAAAAGAAGAGGAACGAACACCGCTGGGTGACTCCCGACAGGTCCCAGGGCGTCACCGATGGATCATGTCATGATAGGCCCTAAGCGGCTTTTCCTGGAGAGATGAGCTGAGCTTACAATGACACCGTGGGTGAAAGACCACAACTGTAAGTGACATTTCTGACATGGGCTGAATGCACGAAAGTCAGCCTTCAGTTTCGCCGAAGTGGTTTTCTGGTGGGAAATTTTGTGAACTTTCATTTGGAAAATTTTCTACGTGAGCCAGTAATAACACAGTGCGAGGCTGGGCACTGAGGAAGCTCGATGTCCGGATTCCGGCGCTAGCGCTAATGGGATCTTCGCGCTGGTGTCCAAAACACTCACGGAAATCGGACACATTCAAAGCCTGACCAAATGCTTCTTTAACGACAAGCAATCGAGGTCGATGAACTCGACGTGTCGATCACGTATGAGCATGATCGATTGGGGGAAAATGTGGGAGGATAGTACGGAAGGGAGAGGAGGGTAGGGAGGTCAGAGTTTCTAGGTAAGACGAGGATCAGCGCGAGGAGGACAGGATACAGATACACGTCTTGGGAAAGTGATCTGCCAGTTATGGTGCCGCAGTTAATCAGGTGAATTTCAAGTAATATGAGGAAAAAATTACCCCTAAAATGTGCAAAATGAACCACTAAGGTTCCGTATGACGACCGTTCGTTTCATGGGAACTGAAGGCTTATTCTACTAGCACGGGATATGACGGCAGAAACTGCAAGCACTATCAAGATGTGATAAGACATTAAATTGTGAACATTATCGGTTCCAAATGCTTTCAGCGTTTTACAACAGCACTACACTCGGTCCTTTATTGGCGTTGTCAGGTGATATGGGTTAGAGATACCACTTTTGAGCTGTTTTAACCTGGACTTTACAGGGCTTGCGGGCTTAAAAGTGGGACCTCTGCTGTTATGAATAACGTCACTGCAAATGGCGAACGGCAAGGGCCAGTAGCCGAGGAACGTATTCGTTGAAGTTTGAACCAGTGTGCCACTACAGGTCATGTGCTACTCCATTGCCCTCCGTTAGAGCGCTTCAAAAAGGGACGCTGTGTTAAACGCCATAGGGGGAAATCCAAGTCATTCTACAACGCTTCGTTGCATTTGCGTGATACTAGCTTCAAGTTTGTATGTTTTTACATTAAGTACAGTATTTTTAGCTTTCGTATCAGTCATTACCCAGACATTTGGACGAATACGTGTACTACAAACATTACCGAACAAACACATTGGAAAAGCAAGACAAGTGAAAAGCATCGCTTTTATAGTGGTTCGTGGGGAGCACATTGACATTTCTCCGGCCAGAGCAGCTGCTTCAAATAAAAGTTCTAAGCTAGTAGAGATATTTCGAGTGGTCACAGGACGCCACATCATCTCACCACTGCCTCTCATCTCTCACTAGGACACCACGTCATCTCATCACTGCCTCTCACCTCTGACAGGACGCCACGCCATCTCATCACTGCCTCTCACCTGTAAGTGTAGGGTCCCATTTCCTGCAGAATTGGTCTGGCCTGCTTGCTGAGCACATCCTCCCAGTTGGTAACGTTCCAGAAGTAGAACCGGATGAACACGGGAAACGACGTGGAGAGCCAGTACGGATATCCCTCTGAGCCAGGGCTTCAGATGCAGCTTCTGCCAGAGGACAGCCATGGGGCACACTCAGCGCCAGCTGCGGTCCACTGAGGCAGCAGCTGATTCGGTAGGCCAGCTCAGCCGATTCTCCCGGCCTCTTCTCCTCCGGGAGAGGCATCCGGGAACCCTCCACGCTGCTATCGCGCAGCGTGAGCGAGCATGTGTGGGCGATGTGTGGTATGTATGTGAGTACAGCAGTGTCTAAAACCAGGACAGTGGACGGATCGGCATACAAATTAGTTGGATAGTTTTAAACCCTTGTACAACAGGCAGCTCCTGTTCTGACTAAGAGCAGTGCGTGGTATGTGAGTGAGTACAGCAGTGTCTAAAACCAGGACAGTGGACGGATCGGCATGCAAATTAGCTGGATTGCTTTAAATCTCTGTACAACAGGCAGCTCCTGTTCCGACTAAGGGCAGGTCAATTGACATCCAAAGGAAGACCCTGTCATGAGGCAGTCAGGAGGAAGGTACTGCCATGCACAAAGGAGGAGGACTCAATGCGAATCTTTTGTGTTGGGAAGCAAAGATACGAAGGGAAGTCCCCGCCACGGTAGCGACGGGACCTGCTTGGAAATGTTGGACATATTTTGGATGCTTCAGGTCAGCGATACGACAGGGACCCTCGCCATGTTTTGGTCTTAGCTGCTTTAGTCATGATGCCATAGGGCAGCAGACCCTGTTCAGAATAAGAGGAAGGCTCTTCGATGACCAAGCGCGCGCCCTGTCGCGACTGGGAGTAGATCGTTGTCCGGATCGAGAGTAGGCTCCCTATTATGGGGGTGAGTTGCGCAGGCAGCTGCCCTGTTTGCGAGCAGGCTCCATATTATGGAGGTGAGCTGTACAGACCGCTGTCCTGATCGAGAGTAGGCTCTATATTTTGGAGGTCAGTTGTGCAGACCGCTGGCCTGATCGAGAGTAGGCTCTATATTATGGAGGGAGTTGTGCAGACATGTTGAATGGTTCCGTAGAGTTTTGTGAGCATTGGCCCTGTATCAAATCGCGGGATTTGAAACATGCTCAATTACGATTCAATATTCCTTTGGAATGTTGTTGGTTCACCTGTGCTTCGGAAAAGAAGAAAATGATTTTGCACATAGCAAAACCAGTGCCAACAGAGCACGTAGCAAAACCAACCAAAACCACAGCCATAGCAACATAACAACGTCACCAAGCGCAGTGCTCCACATGAATACAACCATGCACCATCAAGCATTGCACCACAAAGCAACACATGAGGACAGTTATAATCACGACAGCATTAAGCTGGGAGGCTACCGGCACCTGAGGTGGAATTCAACCCTAAATACTGGTCTACCTTTCTCCCCCCCCCCCAAAAAAAAAACACAGGCACTGTCCCTGCGCTCCATGAAGTGGATCCACCGCGATCGTCGTCTAAGTACAATTTCTCTGGAACTTTATACGTGACAGACATCGTTTAAACATAATTCGGTCTGGCACTTCGTCACTTCTTGCCACTTCACACTTCGACGCTTTCACTTCGTCTTGACTTCGCACTTCACTTCGTCTTGACACCTCGTCTTGTGGACATTCCTTGACTTGCGGAGGCGCTGACGACAAAATGTCTCGCCATCCACTGATAGGTTCGCAGCACTGCTTCTCTAAGTTCTCCCGCTAAGTTCTTCTCATTCGGGTATCGCGCTTTTACCAGCGCTTTTACTGCTATCATGTCTATGGCATACCAGTACGCAGGAAGCGTGGCTGCATTACCCATTCGTTTTATGTTTGTGACTATGAGTTATAGTTTTTTTGGTTTCTGGTCACTTTAAGGCCATTGAATTTCACAACTAGAAAAAGTTTCACCACTTTGTCACTGACATGACATGAAAGGTCACGGCGAGACCGAGGAAATGTCTGGTGCGCCGTGAAATCCCATAGAACATGTCACAGTGCATCGGATACAGAATATGTGCGCATGACGTCATCGATGAATGATCACTCTATTGCCAGAGCCACCTAGCGGACGATCGAGCTGACCTAGTAGACGGCTAAGCTGACCTGGTGGAAGACCGAGCTGACCTGGCGGACGACATAGTTGACCTGGTAGCCGAGGTCACATATCAAGATAGTGCGTCCTGTACTATAAATTGTTGCAGTATGGCGTGGAGAACGCAGTGTGACTATCTTAATGGCCAGGATCATTCGGAAGGATTCGAATGATGTATCTAGGTCGTTTTTCACTTGCATGCATAGCTCTGCGTACAGTGTTCATGAAACTTTGGATCAACATTTTTTGGTTAGTCATCGTTCTTGACTTCTTTAGCTTGAACTGGTTAGTTGCTGTAATCTTACAGCCTGCACCTCCATCTTTCCTCTGCTCTCTTTTGCACGTCAAGATTATATTTTATTTCGACTGTAGCAGCACCGGCAAACGATCTCAGATTTTAATGGAATTTAGAAGCCCTCGAAACTCATTGCTACCCTTTGAAGACTCGAACATCATTACGCGAGATCTGAAAACGCTCCTGACGTGAATTATTTGAACGGAACGTAGATGGCATGAGTGAAATGCTCGCAGCGTTTTAAGGCATTTTAAGCGATTGACCTCTAGTTTCAGCAGTTTCAACTTTGTTTGTTTGTCAGTTGCATCATACCGGTAAGTATGGGGAATTAAGGATGGACCGGTGTCTCAAAAATCGTAAAGCGTCTTCTGGATCTTCACCTCAAACAAATACTACGCATCTGTTCCATTACATGACAAGATTTTCTAGTCCAAGTTTGAATATTTATCTAGATGTTTTCCGTTATCTATAAGGAAATTCGGATGTACAAAGGGACTTCAGCTAAACAACGCAAGCATGTAGTAAGGATGTGCTGAAGAAGCAAACATTTTCATATCCGTAAACTTCAACTGCAAATTTTTTAGCCGGGCTTGTTTCTGTTGAATATAGTAGAAATGAAGTCCGTTATCTGACACACCTACAGTTCAAGAAAGAATGATCTCAGCCAGCCGGCCTAGCAGCCGTCGAGTGTCCGCGCCCCATTAAACCGGTCCTTTTAGAAAAAAACAGTGGTCAGCAGCCAATCTATCCTTACTCAACGTTGCATGCTGAGAATATGCATCGCCACGTCCTCCATGCCCAACTGCAGCCGTGCGCCTTGAGCTAGCGTGACAGGACTGGCACGAGCCCCGCCAGAGCGCCCGCACAAATCCTGAAGAGGAGGCACTATGCGGGGTAAGGGTCGTTAGCAGAGGCCGCTACTGTCAAGCAGTTTGCCCACATAATTATCACTTGGCTAACACGCGCCCGGGTGGCCGGCTGGATGCCCCTCGCTCGGATGGGGGTCAATTTTATTCACCTGAAATCTCGAGAACTGAGAAAGCTAGGGACACAAAATTTACGGGGTGTGTTGACCTGCACGTGAACTCACTTAGCTCAAAAGTTTCAGATTCCTACGTCATGATCTTCGTGTCAAATAAGGTCAAACAAGGTCAAATTCCAGGTTGGTCTCCAAAGTGCCCCCAGAACCTATATAACTGTTTCTAAGCAAAAGGTCACATGCTCATTTAAGGTCAGTGACCTTGTTTGACCTTTTGAAGGTCATGTCGACCGAAAATTAGACAAGATTACTCCGAGTTTTGCATTTGAATAAGCGACAAAGATTACGCTAGGCGGTATGTTCCTCAAAACAAAACTTTGACCCGGGTCATTTCAGGTCAATGGCCTATCCTGACCTCTATGAAGTCCATGAAAGATATATAATGCGGTTCTTGCTATCAATGAATTCGAAATGAGCACCAGAACTATCTCATACAGCAGCCCCTAGAGTCATAAATCAGGTTGGTTTTGAATTTGGTTTCACCTTCACACCTGACTTTAGGTCAATGTTATTTGCTCATTCAACTGATTTGTTCCCTAAGAAAGCATCTCAGAGATGTATGGTTTCGTCTAACACTCCGTTGTTGTATCAGATTAAAGGATTCCCTAGGAAATTGCCTTCTCTTCAACCATGGCCTGAGTTTGACCTGCCATAGGTCAGCGGCGTTACAAAGTGCATCTAGGTTTTTGATTTCAGACGATCTGCTATTTAATTGTCTACGGTCACGCAAAATTTGGCGTGGCTAGACCGTGCCGTCCGGAAACCATTCTGGAAAACCCTTGAGGGATCAATGTGACCCCCACCCGAGCGCGTCCTAACCCTTGAGGAGGTATTTTGTTATGCGCTCTTAGGCGTGGACCCGATTCCACCTCGAAAAGGAAGTGTTCCAGATTTCTATTTTTTAATTAAAATAGGCACCTTGCAGATCATTCGCTGCAGTTCACAGCCCTGCCCCTGTTAAGACCTGAGCCATTAAAGTTTCCGATCTACACGCCCGCTAAGAGGTGCAGGCTTTTTTGGGGAGACTATTCAAGGTTACCCAGGCATCCATGACACCATTATAACTTCATTCAAAGCTTTCAAAGCAAACATCCGACAACACCCCGGGCCACCTCTCCGGAGATTGAAGATCTAAAAGTTAGTGCTGTTATACGAACGTTCCATAGCACAATCAAACAGCGAATATTGAGAGACACATTTAATAAACAGAGAAACTGTGCTATCTAGAGAAGTGTTTTCAGTTTAACAGTACACCATTAACTTTAAGTCAGGTTGTTTCATTGGTTATGATGCCTGGTTCAATATCTTCAAAGGCCGAACATTCCTATTTAGTGTGTGCGAATCCAACCTTTCCGTCAAAAACCTCTGTCACATTTCTGAGCAGGATATACACGTAAGTGCGAGCGTTGCCAATACTGTTTGAATACTCCGTGAACTACAGAAATGCATTCACAAACACGGAAATAACAATGACAAGGCGGCATGGTCCTTTGCTGTTCGGCACTTATCGTATTAAAAGTGCGTTTCTGATCAAGCGCGCAGGCTCCCTTTGTCTGGTTTAATGTTCAACAGCGTATTATACAACAGAGCATAAGAAGTCTCTCATCGCAACATTTCAGAGACCACATGAGAAATTCGTAGCGAATAAGCTGATTTATCCGCTCACACCAAAGCACAATCTGCACGCTGTGGATCGGCGGGATGAATGGTAAATGCAATGTTCTCAATTCTTTGGGTCACTTCTCTAACAGTAATGATGCAGTACTTGGCGACATGC